TACCCTTAGGGCCAATGCGATTGGTTCCATTCTCGTTCCGCGTTACGCTAATCCGCGTTTCCACGCTCCATGTAATGGCACCCTCAGACACTTTTCGTTAAACTCCGCCCATCACCCGCTCACCCGATTATCACCCATCGAGTGAAGAATCGGAACACAGCCTTGTGCAGCGCATGAGAGCGCATGAGCTGCCTCAGCTCCCGAGGTGGTGTAGTCCATGCGTGGTTCATACGCGAGAGTTATTTAGAAGGAGACTATCTGCAAAGTGGTACAAATTATAGGATTCCGAAATTCATAAAAAATGTCTTTGAAGAAGCTACAAATTTATGTTGATGATAAATTGTGGATGTTCGTCGTGTCAGATACTGAATAAAACTCCAAATCTAAATATATGTACACGTAGGCGGACACAACGGCGCGGCCCCTACAAAGCCTGCAAAGAATTCGGTTAATGCGTTCATCGATAAATGATCATGTATCACTTTCTATCTCTTTATATTACGAGACCGACCGATTTCGAGATTTCGTTTAAAATTCCATTGCTTTCCATAAATATTAAAAATTGTATTAAAAAGACATTTATACCCAGACAGCACGAAAACCCTGCCGAAACGGGAAAAAGGGAACGAGTCAATGCGCTCATGCGATATGCTGCGTTTCATGCGGTTCATGCGTGAAACGAAACGCACCCTATAGATTTTCAGTACTAGCAGTAAATATCGAAACGCAGCCTTTATCGGCTGCGGTCGAGAACACGCTAGAGATGCTTCGAAGCGTTGCATTAACCAATCAGAATAGAGAAATCTTTATTATTTTTGTCCTGATTGGTCAATCAAACGCTTCGAAGCATTTCTAGCGTCTTCCCGACCGCAGCCATCAAGATGTATGATACTATTTAGGTTAGAGTCCTATATGGGCGCGTTCCACTTAACGACCGCAACGCTCGCGAGCATCATCTGTCTTTGTTTAACTTTCGGTGAGCAACAAAGATGAAATGATACCGTGAGCGTTGCGGTCGTGAAGTGGAACGCGCTCTATATCCATAGATATATAGACTGGAGTTGCGTTCCGAAATTCACTGCCAGGTCTCTTTTCCTAGCATCTCATTGGTAATTTTCTATATGGAGGGGGACAAACTCACCAATGAGATGCTAGGAAAGAAGACAAAATAGGCCTCCCAAATAGGGTTGTGTTCCAATTCTTCACCCGATGGGTGATAGTCGGGTGAGCGGGTGATGGGCGGAGTTTAACGAAAAGTGTCTGAGAAGATAATGAAATCAGAACGCACTCCGTAGGAATCTGAAGTCTCCAAACGGCGTTGGCATCTTGGTAATGCGTGATCGCCCTATCTAGTTAGAAATTAATCAATGGTTGAGTTATCAAAGGAAAGCGGGCAAAGAAAGAAAATTATTGTGCGTTGTAACTATAAACGTTTTCACACTATCACTATTCGACTTCGCAGTTTTACTAACAATCAAAGCGTCAATATTAGTATTAACAATGTATAAATTTCTTCTTTTTTTTTCTTTTGACATAAGCCTGTAAATCTCTGTAAATACCTGTAAAAACCTGTTGCCCAAATGCAGTTTATAGCATGATGTAATAATATATATTGGCCGTGTTCTGATATTCGCTGCCAGTACCGAAAATCTATAGTGTATGTCATATACACTATAGATTTTCAATACTGGCAGTAAATATCGGAACACGGCTATTATTACATCATGGTTTATAGCATACATAAAGCCGGTATTAGACATGAGATTATACACAATTTTCAATGCATCTGATGTCCGATTCTGACTTACAATATTACTAGATTTTTCAATATTGCCCGCACTTATTGCCACTCATCTTCACTCACAAACCACCCGGCTCACAGAGCCAGGTGGTTTTTACGCTCTCCCGGGTGAATAGAGTGACAATTTGAACGTCTCACTTGAGAGTCCGGCGAGAGCACTTGGGAGGAATCTGAACGCTCTCTGGGTGTCTGGGTGCACCCGGGTGGG